GGTGAGATGAGCTCAGTTCAGGGCAATTCTGAAGGAAAAGTCTTTAGACGGGGCTGGAGGTTCCAGTAGGAAAACAATCGTAAACACAGAGATGCAATGAAGTGGTTCAGAATAAATCATATATGAATGAGCGAATGTCCTGGTCAATTTCTGGACCTGACTCCAGCTGATTTTCTGTGCCAAGAATTGAAAGTTTTTGTTTCTTCTAATCGGACTGAACTTGAATCATTTTGCAAATGAAAATTGACAAACAATGTCAGTCTCAAAGCTGAAACACGCCCCAAAAGACTTTTAGTTTTAACTGCAGCAGAAGATGATTAGACAAATATTGACATTAGAAAGCAGAAATCAAATCCAAATCATACATTTCATATTTTTATGTCAAAGCACTTATAAAATAATGTTTCTTCTTCTTTTTCTTTCATATCACAGCTATGGTCTAAAAAATTATATATTATAATCGAAAAGGCATTTTGAACATAATTACAAGAGAAGATTTTTGATAGAGCTGGACTTGGGATTTGACTAATACTTAGATAGCTTGGAAACAAGAGCACTTAAGTCCAATAAAAAAATAAAAAATTACTCAGCCTTGCATCATCACCTTGAATTCATGTTTACATTTCTAACCTTTAATTATGTAAAACATTTAGAATATCACTGTGTAATTACCATTCCTTTGACCCCAGTGATTATCTCTGAACAATGAATCACATCAAATTCATTCCACACAAAATCCTGCATGAAGGGACAGAGTTAAAGCCTTTAGCACACCTTACCAAGTGCTATACCAAGCAGTCACTGCCCACTTAAATCTTTATATTCTTCATTCACTTTAGCTTACCAAACAAAGAAGTCCCCATAGGCAAGTAATGAATAATCATTAGCAAAAGGTCCACAAATTATTGATGTAAAATAAGCAATGATTCTTTTTTTTGTTTCGCAATTTATTGCCATTAACAAGTAACTTGCAATCCAATAAATGTCAGCATGGCTTTCAGTTAATTAAAGGGAAAGATATTATACAGTAATGCAGGGTGGCGTTTATATCTCGATTTCCACAGACTGCAATTTACTGCCGGGCCTTTATTTGAAGGGACCCACAAATAATGGCTATTAAGCCGTCAGCGGATGGACAGGGGATCACATTAATGAAATTAGATAAGGTGGAATGGTGATCTACACAGCCCAGACTCTGGAGACACACAAACCACACACAGACTCACAGGCAAGACACATTAGGACTCGCGTGCCATTTTGCTCTTTTTTTTTTTTTTTTCCCATTCTCCAGACCTGCTTGGCCCGTGTTTTCACTCCTCTTCTGTCTTGCCTTCACCTTTTCTGCACTTTCCCCCAAAAAAACATCCAGCCAGAGAGCCAGCTCGGTGTTCAACATGAGAGCCTGTCAGCTCATCAGGGAAACTTTCCCCTGTTTGTCCCGAACACTGTAGGCAGCCAGTCAGTCCTTCAAGCCTGCCATCAACACTGCCAAAACACACACAGACACACGTGTCCACATCTCCCCCACTAACAGGGAGGTGTCACTCGGGGAGGCAGCTGCACTCGCTGGTGTGACGGCTCCCCTCAAATCAGAGATCCTCGTCCCTGTCAACAGAAACCTGGCCCTGAGGCAACCACTGTCACACGGCGTACACCCCTTGCACACACAAACACACAGACTGATGAGGAAAGGATGAAGACAAGGTGGAAGAGGAGGTTGCTGTGTTCTATCAGGAGAACAGATTTCCACTGTATTAGGAGAGCAAGGAGTGGGAAGGCAGGGAGGGAGAGGGGGATCGGGAAGCGGAAGAATGGGGTTTGGGGGGAGGAGTGGGATGAGGGATGTGTGTTTTAGTTAAAACAGCGGGCCTGATTTCCTTCCTGACAGAGAGGCCCAATTATTAGCTTTGACAGTTTGGGGAAATTGGCTGTGAGTGTGATGGGACAGATAGGAGCAGAACTGATAGGGGAACTGATAATTGTTCAGCAGACGATTTAGTCAGGTCGACATCCAGCTGCGGATTCAGCCCACAACGCTGAGCTTGTACAAATACAGAGTAAAGTGAAGATTTGTAATTCGGTAAGAAGAGTGCATTTTTCAACAAATTATGGAGGTGCTGCTTAACATTTCTTTCTCAGTGCCTCTGTCTCCATGCACTCTCTAGTCTCCTTGTGTGCATGTGTGTGTGTGTGTGTGTATGGACATGACTTGGTGTGTATTTGTGCTGGCAGCAAACATAAGAAGCTCTCTGTGCAATCGGACAAGATGCCGATATCTGAGTAATGTGACAGTGACTTCCTGTCGGAGTGTCAGAAAGCAGCTGAAGGCTTATCAATACTCGCTTGTACTCACATCCTTTCCCATCGCCTCTAAAGAAGATGCACCATTCCAAGAGAAAACTTTCTCCTTTCTTTTTTTCTCCCTTCAAGAAACACAAAAATAATCCGCAGAACAGAAGATGAAAACTTATGTTATGGCATCTTGTGAAACATTAATTGTTCTGGGGATTGTAATATCAGGATAAAGTTTGGAAGCTCTTTTCTGTGTGACACAAAATCTAAATGGAAATCAGAAAAAAAAGTTTTGATAAAAAATAATTACATTTTGAAATGAATTAACATTTTGCCACTTTTTCCCCCCAGACTTTCAGTGAACTTTAAGGATTTTTTTGAAGGGCAACACTGCCCCCCTGTGGTTATTTGATGCTATTAAATTAAGTCTATTTACCACACAACTTCCAACTTAAACGTAGCGCTTGTTTTAAACCTGCTGCATTTTGTTTTGTGTGTTTTTCAACAAGTCAAAGACAGAAAATAAGTTTTAGTCAAACCTATGTATAAGTATGTATTTTGAATTATCATTTTTGAAGAGTTACATGCATCTCACTTTTCTGCCACTTCCTGCTTAACATTTGTAATTGATCGATGCGAAGTCCCTCATTGGCAGATCTAATTCATTTACGAACTTGTCGCTCCACATCATTGATTGAGTTGTCTTTCACCCTAGCTTTAATTATGCAAAGATAAAAGATTTTATCATTATTGTTTTTAATCTAATGAAGGGCCTCACACTACAGCCGGGGCAAGTTCAGAGGTCCAGACTATTGACCTTGGGTTGGCCAAGCCAGATGTTTTTAATTAGTCGGAGGAAACAGATCTGAGGAGAAGATCTGGAGTTGTCTGTTCGGTTAAATTTATTGTCAGAGAGTTCTAATGAATCTCAGCAGGTTTCAGTATTTAAACCTCTATTATTTACAGAGTGTCTTTAAAATATAATGATACAATCACTGAACAAAATTAAAATGAATAATCCTCATTTTATGCAATATCAACTTCAACCCGAGCATGCTTTATTTTATTCTAGAAAGTAGCAAATGAAAAACCCTCCTGTGATTATACAATATACAAACATGAAAAGTGTTTCTCTTTTTCTGGACCAAATTCCAGGTTTAGTGCATATGTAAAATGATTTTAAAAAGCCAAAATTTGTAAGAAATAACTTTTATTGTCACTAATTAATAATGAATTGTTGTATTTATATGGTGCCATTGTGATCAGTACAAATCATCTGAAGAGAAAAATTGTGTAGCATTCTTTAAATTTCTTACATTTCCAGCTTTCCAATCTAACAAACAATTGTTTCAGGACAGAATGCTGAAGCAACAAATTAACTTACTAGATCACGACCTTGCAATAGTTTTGAAGAATTTCTATTTAAAATTATTGGCATCACATTAATAACCAAATAATACTTTACACCACAATTTTCCCACCAGCTTGTGGGTTTGCAATCACCTATAGACACATGAGTTGGTAATGCAAGATTCCCTTAAATTACGCTGTCATCATTATTCCCCAAACCAAAATTGCATCGCCTTCTTCTTCAGCGCTGGTGAACATTTTTGCTGAGGAAAGAAAAACAGACTCCTTCTATTCAATAAATTAAAGTACAGGAACTTTCAATAATTGCAACTTAATACTTGTATCATTTAATGTTCTAAACATATTAGAGAGAAGAACAAAGAAAGTTCATGTTTTTCTCTTCAGACAGAAAAACATGAACTTGATGGAAGATGAAACTGTGATTTAATCTGAAACATTAATGTAAAAAGACAGAAATTAACCAAATGTTTTATTTTACAATTTAGCTATGAACATAAATTTCTTAATCACTGTTCATCCTTTAGTTTTAACTTTTCGTATAGTATTAAATATTAATCTGTTGAATTTTGAAAGAATCCATCTGCCTTGGAAGCCTTTAAACCTATCTTATCCATAAATACCAAACATTTTTGTTCATGCTCATTTGTAAATTTCCTGTGAAAACAGAAGTAAGTGGAATAAAGGACTGCAATTTGGAGAGCAGGGCTTTTTAACCCTTTTGTTTGTTCTGCTTCTTTTCATAAAATAAACATAGAAAGAACTTCCTGTTCCTTTTCAATTTAAGTATAGGTAGGGGGTGATGTGTTGTGCAAGATAAAACACATGCATTTGTATTTTAACATTTCATTTGCAGGTTTTACAGAGTGATTTTTTATAAAACCTTTCTGGTCAAATTGACAATTTAAAGCAGTTTACGCCACTTTCACATTCACACACACATACGGAGATCAGTAGAAGTTAAGTGTGTTTCCCCAGGGAACATCAACATGTGACAGGATGAAACTGGAACAGAACCCATTGAGCCACAGTCCAATCATAACATGAAATAAAGGAAGCTTGAGAAAACATGAAAATGGTGAGTATGGATATTTCCTTAGTTATTCTTGTTTTAAATGTGATGTCTATTCTAAAAACTTTCATGCTTTATAATGAATTGTAATATGTTTTTCAGAATGCCCTTGTGTTCTAGAACATCTCTAGGTAAAAGTTGAATGAATATCCATTATGGATCACTTTTTCACATCATGCATCATAATTATACATACATGGTTTCCTACTGGAACCATCTGATTTCTATTTTAAGGACAAAAAAGATAGAAGCAGCATTTAATCCACTGTCACTGCATGAGTTAATCAGTTTTATTGGCACTTCAACTACATCATCATCATCACTGAGACATTTCACATCATCAGGATGAAAATATGCACAAAACAAAATCACAATATGGCCACATTGTCTCTGTCCATATAAAAAAATGTACAAGGAAAAAAAGATATTATTTCAAATGATGTCACCTTATCAGCAGCCAAAAATACAGATACAAAGGAGGCAATGAAAACCCCGAGTGGAACAGCTGCTGCCTTACATCATCTGATCTAGCATATGTTTTTTGTTTTTTATATCATTGTTAATTATAGCCCCAACATTTCCCACTCTCAGCTCAGATGCGTCAACACAATCTGTTATTCTCCAGCAGCTCTTGTGCACAACTGTCAATTCACTGGAAATCAAGTCAATGGATCGTCTAATTAAAGGAGGGAAAATAGAGGAAAATAATCCGCAGTGGTGTAGCTTCAGTTAATTTCAACAATTTTAGAGCAGAACATCTTTTCTATACAGACCACAGAAAAATATTTTGTTGCAGCTTTATGATTGTCCTTGGTTTCCTGAATATAATTTTAGCATTTCCCATTTTCATCAACTTCATATGTTGCCTGTAAATCAGAAAACAGTTACCAATTTTCTCAATTATTTGTCTGATCAGTTTCTTTAAGCACAGTCTGAAATGAAATGATTAACACTGTGTAGGCTTCAGGCCTAGTCTTCATGTTCTGATCCACTTCTGTCCACTGGGTGGCACTTAGTACACAGCAGGATCTTCTGCCTCCTCATTCATACATTGACTCAGTCAGACCTGTCTGCTTGAAGGTCTCTGCCACCTGTTTGGAGTACTGCATCTTAGCTGACAGCGCCTCTAAAATGTCATTCTGGTCCACAGCAGTGGCCGTCCGATAAATGAAGGTCCCCACTGACTCAAGGCCTCGCATTCCCAGATTAACCCCAAACCCTGGAGGATGAATCAGAGAGATTTGAAAGTATAAATTGCAGACATTAAGACAGCTGATTTATCTCAACACATATTTGGGTAAAGAAGTGATGAGTTGGCAGAGAAATATTTAAATTCTACACAATGTGGAGGAGCATATCTCCAATGATCAAAAATAAATGTATTTGTAAAGGCCTGAAAACAAAACATCTGTCATAACCAAGCAAAATTTTATTTATTTAAAAAAGTAAAACTCATAATAAACCATATATCTGAATTTTAGAAAACGTATTTGTTTTAAAACAACCAATTTAGCCTTCAATTTCCATTATTCATTTATGCAGTTTCAATTCAGGTTTGTCTTTTCTTCTGTCTTTTGTTATTCATTAAGAGCAGAAGTGATGGGCAGGTACGATTTAAACAAAAGATCTGCAAAAAGGCTTACAAATAAAAGTACAGCTAAATTAAAAGATAAAAAACCATAATGTTAAAGACGGAGACGCATCAATAAACAATAAATATGTGATAATTATACTTATCTATAGTTTATTTGTGGATAAATATTTTTGTAAAAGCAAAAAGACATGAAAGTGTGAATGTAGAATAATAGAGCATCTCTAGAGGATGAATTAAAGCAAAATGCTTTTACCTGTGTCGAAGTTGAGGACGCGTGCCGCTTCGCCCTCCACAATGACGGCAACGTTTTCTCCTTCTATGTAGGCGGCGCTGATGCGTCTGTGTGACAACTGTATCTCAAAGAGTCGGCGGCTGCACTGCATGTGGTGGAGCGTCACATCGCTGAGACGAGGTTCAATGTCTGTCTTGTAGGCATTGAAAGATTCATGGAAAATGGTCTTCATGATCTGACCAATAAAATAAAGACAGTAATAAATATATTAAGACTTATTCTTTGAAAACATAAAAATTGTTGCATGGGGCCTTTGGCAGAATCTTAATAACCCATATTTTATAGTGATATATTTGGAGATTACTTAGAGCTGAAAACTCTTTTCAAATGTGACAGAAAGGTAAAAATTATTTAACATTTAAATTTAAATTTGCATAATTGAAATTACCCTTAAGGGACGGTCTGAAGTATTTATAAATGCTGTGAAGTTGTTCATTAATGCGTGAATTGTCCTTATGTTCAATTAATACATTTAAATAAATCTACAAAACACACACAAAAAATCTCAGGGAACATTTTAATTAACAATATATATACATTTGGAAACTTCCACTTGGAAGTCCCAAAACGTCCCAAAAGTCAACTTTGCTACACTTTGAATTCATTGCTAAGAATCGTTCACAAGACAACATCTTAAAACTTAAAAAAATACTGTATTAGATTTATTTATTTTTATCATGATTGTGTAGACATTTTAAGTTTAAATATGACAAAAGAAGACAAAAAAAATCAGAGATATCCTTGTTGCATCACCAACTGTGGAAGACAAACATCCTGTACTTTGGCATTTTCTTACCAAACTGATTACTTCAATGTTAAATGGTAGGCTCAGTATATTGGGTGAATATGCATCCAGCCATTACTGGAGTTAAATAATTTCTTCTCTAAGATGACTGCTGTTTTCTTCTTGCTCCAGATCAGCAGACAGACAGATCTTTTGCCGTGTCATAGCTTTTAACCCTCGCTGATGCTCAGTCATTAGTGAGCAGCTGGTCTGACCGTTAGTCACCCTCTTTATTTTTATTAAAGAAGGGTAAGCGTGTCTGGTGACTGTGCCTTTGAGTCATCTCCACATCATCTGTGCGTTTTGAATGGCAAGTCGCTCTTCTCTCCATTTTCTCTGTTCAACTCTGCTCTTCTTCAACCCATACTTACAAAGCCAACTGTTACCAAGTAACAGTGCATCTGAATGGCCACCCACATAGCAACAAGAGCTCCATGGTCGGTCTTGATATGTACCTGAGTGAACTACCACTGCTCTGTGTGCCGTAGCTGCAGGCTATGCATGATCAAGGGACCTTGACTGGACAATCAAGTGGCTTTAAAGAAAAACAAAAAGCCTCACAGTAATGTAGGTGTACCAACTCGGAACATTCTTCTCTGCTTATTCAACTACAGTATATCAAGCTCTTTTTGCGAGATAAATACACATAATAACCCATGTAAACAGAATACCGAGACTCAATCACACAAGTGAATCAAAGTACATTTCTTCATAAAAAAAATGTTTAAAAAAAGCTGAGAATAAATCTTAAATGCCGTACTATGTCTTTACAACAGCATACAGAAACAGAAGTCTTACCGAGGAGTTTGCAGTCTGTCTGAGGTAGCGAACCATTTTGGTGTCAGAAGTGGGACAGGCGAGGGCCATGTAGCGGTTTCTGAAGGTGCCATATATCTTCAGGTGGAAGGCAGACTTGGCTGTGGGGTTTTTGTGCTCTCGGAGAGCCTCCACTCCATACGCAGACAGGTCAAAATAGAGGTTGTGTGCACGTATCTCAGGTGTGGGCACCTACAGGTAATAAAACGGGTAATTAATTAATCTTATTCATATCAAATCAAGCCCATAAACTGCAGTCCCAGCAATACAAACACATAGAAAATCATCACCTCTGTCTGCAGGCCTGCTGTCACTTCAGATGAGATTAAAAATAGCTCACTTTTTATTCAGCAGTTCAAACTTGTAGCTTCTCATTTTTCCTCAAGAGAAAATTGATAAATTTTCTTTTCAGTGACATTAAACAGTAAGAGGCATAAAGCAGCTTTTAGAGCAGCCATTGGAGATGGAGAGGGAGAGCAGTGGGAACAAGGTGGCAATGGGGGAATGGACAGTAAGGAGGACCAGGTCATATCCTGGGAGGACAATTCAATCACTACAGGAAGCAGCCAGAGAGAACAGTGGCCAATAAAAGGCAGCCACACAGCCAGTCAGGCGGACGTGATATGAATGGTTATGGTTACATAAAAACAACAAGAGACACTTGCTTGTGTTTGCGTGTTAGTCACATTTTAGCCTGGAGCGTTTGACCTGAACCTGTTTATTTTTTCAATGATAATAATCTTACTCTCCTGTTGTCACTGTGGATGATCTATTATTAACTGAAAAATAATTTGAACAATTAGCTTTCATTGACATCAGTCATTTGATGATTCAGATGGATAACTCTTGTTGAACTCCTAATTGTTATTCTTTTCCTTCCTCTTTAACATACATAATGTTTGGTTGTTGGATTACCTTCACAATACTTCCACATTACTTGCTTCATATCTAAAACTCGCCCAAGTCTTAAGATACAGGGTAATTTAATCCCACATTTTTTTACTTTGTGTGTGGTCCAGTGGGGTCACACTGACCCTGTGTCTGCTTTTACAGGTTGTGGATTTTTTTTTTTTTTTTTTTTTTTTAAGAGCAAGTCACCCAAATCTTGTCATTTCTGGCAATGGACTAAAGTTTTTCTCTATTTTTTCCAAACTGACCCAAAAGATTTGCAAACTGGATGCTTTTCTTTTTTGTAATTTTAGTTTTGTGATTTATTTTTTTGGCCCACGAGACAGAACAGTTTGCACACTACTGATTCAGATCCTGCTTTAGAATTGCTTTCTCAATTGGATTCTCATCTGGATCTGAATCCAATTGAGAATCGATAAGATTCAAAAATTGATGTTCACAGAAACTCTCAATCTAATATGACGAAAAGCTGGAGGTAATTTGCAAAAAGAACTGGGCAAAAATGTCGATCTTTAGATGTATTTCAGATTAGCACCGATGCTGCATGCCACAAATTCCAGTTCCATTGTTTGGATAGATCGTTCATGCGAGGAAGGCAAATAAAGCTGCCTTCTTTGTAGCAGGGTTCATTACTGACAAAAACAAGAACATAATATTTATTGGTTCATAGTGCATGTGGTAAAATGCACGCATGCAAGGGGAGCACGCATACAATTTTCTTTGTAAAAATCATCATTGTGATGTTTTTATTAGAATTTAATGGTTTCCATTAACATTGTGGTGGAGGCAGAGGGGGTTAAGGCAATTTCCTGCTTATGTTGTGGTTTTCATTGCTTTAATTTCAAAGATAATCCCTATGTTTTCATAGTTTCCCATGCTTCACTGTTGTTGGGTTTGAACATTTAACCAATTTGTAACAGGTCAGTTCATTCTGCCACTTGATATTGGAAAAGCTGAAATCAGGAGATGGATAAACTGATGGATGTCTATGAAAAACAAAAACCGGAGTGTGGCTACTGACCTGTCTCTGGTCTGATCTTTCTATGGTAGCATTTGCTCCATAGGCGTGGCAGGACTCCACAATGTAGTCAGAGCTGATTCCTAGGACAGAGCAGGAGTCTCCGCACGATCCATCAGCCACAACGATGACTCGAGGCCAGTCATTGTGCGGAATCCGCTGCAGGTATTCTTCCGTGAACTAAAACACAGAAAGGAAGAATATTTTTCACAAATCAACTAATGGTCCATCTGTCTCCTTAAAAATTTCTCAAGAATTTTTTGTTGTTGTTTCAAATTTACATATCTAATATCAAACAAATTCTAATATCAGAAAAGAAAACCTCAGCATTTTGGAAAAAATAAAATAAAATTAAGAATGTATGTATCCTGTAACATTTGAAGTAAAATAAACATGTTTTCAGAAAAAAAGTCAAATAAAAGAAATTAATCAAACATGGAGAACAATGAAACCAGAAAACAATATATACAAAGACCAGGAGGTAGACAATGACACTCGCTGCAGGTCAGGCAAACAGGAAATGAGTTACACCTGCAGCTAGCCGGCTGAAGGGGAGGAGAAAAGGAGATGAGATGAACACAGGTGGCACAGAAGCAAAAGGGAAATCCTTTTGCACTATAACCATAAAGGAAACAAACATAACCTAAAATGCATAAATAGCAGAAGATGAGAATAAGTTGACAAGGCAAGTTCTCTGAAAGTAACAGCAAAGAAATTATTAAAATAAAAACCCAAAACGCAAAGATCCTTAAACAACGTGGCTGAGTCAAAGCAATTCTAGTAGAAAAGGTATCTGTAAATTCCCCACAGTTATATACAAAAAGTCCAAACTGGGCTCTTTTTAAAGACAATTTATTAAATTGCAATTAAATAAATTGTGTTTTACATTCACTCAGCTTATCTTAATGTAGTTATGCAATTGTTTATATATATATATATATATATATATATATATATATATATATATATATATATATATATATATATATATATATAAAACATTGTAGTGTAGAAAAAAAAAGCAAAAACAAGGATTTTGTAAACAATGTTTTCACAGCATTGTAAGCGGAAAGCAAATGTTTTTTCCAGAAACAAACCAATTAGATCTTAAGATAGATCTGATGCCAAGATTCTGGATAACATCACCCATTTATGGGAACAAACAATTAGATCACACTGAAAAATTATTGTGTAATATAGAATGTAGCGTGTTAAAATTACACACATAAATCAATATTTTACTTACTGAAAATGTACTTTCCGTTTCTATGCATTATAAGTGATATTTATACTGTGTCTGGTGGTTTGTTTACATTTCCTCCGCCTTAGCTTGTCTAACGGATATGACTTCGCTTGTTGTGCTATCTGTTCATCTGCAGGAGGAAGCAAGTGGATTTTAATTTAATATATCAGTGAAAGCTATTTATACGAGACATATTGGTTGAGCTTGTCCTAAAAACAGAACGTCCTTTGAACTGAGAGATTTATTAATTTTCTCTGGTGAATGTTTGCAACCTCTCACCAGCTTCTTGCCTGTGTTAAGGAGAAAAAAGAGGCAGCCAAATCAAGTTGGAGGACAGCCAGCCAGGCTGGGAGAGAGAATAAAAAGGTTGTGGAGGGACTTTAATAGCCTACATCCAAAGAGATCTATGTCTAATCTGTTTAGACCACATTGAACATGTAATTTAAAAGACCCCAGCCCCCAACATATTCTCAGACCTTTGAAGCATTCGCTGGGAGAGTAAAAGTATCTGTCATCAAGCCCACTGTCTTGTCTAATCAAGACGAAATGGCCGGGCTGGCAGTAGCTCTGAAAGAAGCCGCAGATTGCTGTGGACAAAAGCCCTGCTGACCTTGTCCTCCATCTTCCAAAGGTCACTGAGTCACAAGAAAGGGATGAGAGCAAACACTGAAATAAAAAGGAAAATCTACAGGCCAAAGCCAGACAGAAAACTAAGATTCAGCAGGATTATGCTTTTTTTTGTTTTTGGACACATTCAAAAACAAAACAGGACAATAAAAGGACAATAAAAAAAGACAGATAGTAAATACCAAGTTAAAATAAGGTGCACTGGAAACATGTCAAATGGAAGATTCAAAATGTACTACTAAAGTACAATGCCTTCAAAAGGTTTTCGTACTCCTTTGACCCCTTCAGATTGTGGAAGGTTGCAACCAAAACCTTCAGAGTCTTTCGGGATACATCACATGAGGATGAAGGGGATGATGTATTCAGAATGAAGTGCAGAAAGAGCTCTCCAGAAAGCACAGAGGTTTAGATGTACCAGATTCCTTTCTATTTCAGTCTCACCTGGCCAGACCCTTTTTTCCACATATTTCAATGAGACATCTGGGTTTTTAACAATCACTTTGTTCTTAACCATCATTTCATAAAGAACCAATTTCATGGGGAGCAGAGCTAATAGCTGTCCTGTCAATTCTTCCAGCCTCCTACATTTCCCTACAGGTGCTCCAGCTGCAACATGTCTTAGAACATTCATTGTCTTAATTCACTTAAATATACTCTGTAGCATGTAAGCTATACTTTATACTTTATGCTTTCATGATTATACATTATGAAATGTTCAGAACATGGTATAATGTACTATATCATGGTAGCCAGTGTTTTCCTTGGTTTTCATGATCCTGTTTTTTTTCTGTTTCTCTAACAAACATTTAAGATCTTCACAGAACATTGGACTTTATACTGAGATTATTGTATGAATCACACACATGCAACTCTTTAGATAACTTGAGGTGTATTAGAGTAAAAAGGTACGAATAGAAATAGATGCCACACTATTTTGTTTTGTATTTGTAAATAACTTTGGAAATTATTGATCCCTTTCTTTCCACTTTGCAATTAAACTCTGCTTTTTGCTTGTCCATCACATAAAATCCCAATAAAAATTCTCTAAAGTTGTTGTAAGCTTTCTTGTGAAAAATGTAGGGGTCTAAATACTGTTTTAACCATAGTCATAAATGGAGGTTATTTTAAGGCAGGCCAAAAATAGTCGCTGCACTCACAATAATTGTTGTCCACTCTTAGCAATGACAGCTTCTCCAACAGTTTTTATCTCAGTTGGCTACCTGAGCTGCAGCTGTAAGTGTCTTGTTATGTCATCATAATACTGTATTGAAAGCTGAAGCAGAGCTGAAAAATGCCGTAATTTCTGCAGCCAGAACATACTGAGCAATTTGACTTGGATGCACGAGAAAATAATCTTCTGTTGGAAAATAAATCCTTTGGAATCAAAACAGGATTACATTCAAAATCCACTTGTTTGATGCTGTAAAGTGTCGGGGTGGAGACTTGTTCAAGCTAATTCTGTTATTTGCTTTTCAAATGACCTACTAAATGTTGAAAAGGGTTGTTTTTAGGTGAGTTTATATAACACGTGATTTCATCTGAGTGGATTCTTTCAGTTTAGGATTACAGTGGAGTGCAAGAAAGAGATTTGCTCAGGCCCTGGTTTTGTTGGCTGTGAATTTGAGAAACTGATCAATTGAAAGACAAAGTTTACGATGACAACTTACAAGCTAAAAAGAAGTTGTCAGAAAACATGTCAGAGTTGTAGAGGGATTTACGTCGACATCAGCTTTGTTCTGCCTGGATCAAGAGCCTGAGGACGCTACTATCACTGAGAGCCTGAATGGAGGAAGAATCACTTAAGTTTTGTTGCTGACAAAGTAAAGCACAACTGACTTAGTGAATATTTCCAGGAGGACTATATTGGTGAATTTTAACATAAGCTAACACAAGGATGGAAAAAAAAGAATTTAGGCAATGAAGCTTATGTAGCCATTTGTTTAATTTGTTTTTTCTTTACATTTTAGTTAATATATATGTGTATTATTTATACATGTTTGAGGAACAATTGGTTAAATTCCAATCAGTTTTTAAAATGCAGTTAATTAATTCACCTATATTCTATTTTTATTGTTAATCAGATTTTTCTCTCTATTATTAGAAAAACAAATTAGTTTCTTATCTATTATATGTCTTCACTGAAATTAACTCTTTATACTTGGAAATCTGACTGTAGCATTTTGTAGTGTCAGTAAACAGGCTGAAGATACAAATTAAAATTAATGTTGAAGCCGACACCATTTTTTTGGGGGTGGGGCAGGGGGTAAAGGGGGGTCTATATGTTTTATGACTTAAATTTCTTCAAGTGATATATTTAGACCTGAACACCCAGTAGCAGCCCTACCATTCCCTGCTGGAACCATAGCTATTGCCAATGGTTATGAGAATAATTCTGAATCTTAAACTTTAATTAAAATTTGGACGAATACAAACTATATTTAAATAATGTAACTTTTAGTGAACGTTAATCAGCAAATGCTTTTGTCAAACATTTAAATCACTCAAACTCATTTTACAGTGGAGTTTATATATTTTTTCTCAATATTATTTTACTTAAATCGCATTGGTTTTGCGCATGCTTCTGTCTAACTATAAAAAAATAAATGTAAAAAAATCAACCTTAGTTCCCAGCTGCACTTTGATCTCCACCTTCTGCTTCTTCTGCTCCAGGATGCTCAGCAGATACTCCTGAAACACGCCTATTCTCGTGAAGAAGTGCTCGTTGTGCCAGCAGCCCTCCATGTTATCAAAGTCCACTCCGAGTCCCAGCAGAAACTTCACACTGCGAGGATCCAGGGCGATCTGCTGGGGCCGGCAGAGAAGCGCGGTCCGGTACCGCTCGTCCAGCACGGTCAGCTTCAGCACCTTCCCGGAGCGGACAGCGACCAGCGCCGCCGTCAGCCCGACGGGACCGGAGCCCACGATGAGCACCGAGATCCGTGCACGCCATTGCCTGAAGCCGTCGAGGCTGACTTTCACCACCACGTACAGAGCCACTACCACCAAAGTGCTAAGAGCCGTGTCGAAGGCGAGAGCTCCGTACTTTTCCTCGGCGGTTTCCCGGATCCCACCAACTCCGGCGTTTTCTGGCTGCAACCCGTCCATATCGCAGGGAGGGAGAGACGGGAGGTCTGACTGTCGGGCTTCCAGGTATTTTCAGACGACTAACCGGCCGTCCACATGAAGGCATTCATTGCTGGAGAAGAGATGACTTTGCATCTGTGCACACACACAACCCGAGCGGCCGCGGCTCTAACACAGACCTCCTCTCAGCTGTGCAGCATGACTTCCCCCGTCTGCCTCGCTCCCTTTCTCTCTCCCAGGCATTAAGGTGCGCGTCCAGGGAGCGTCAGCAAGAAAACAATTTTTTTTTCTCCTTTTTTTTCCTGAAGGTGTTCGGTCTTTAGAAAGGGAACTTAAACCAGGCCGTGGAGACGCACATGACACTGAATGGTGCGCTCTGACTTTATTCTGTGGGAAATTATTGATTTGTTACTAAAACAGGAGAGCCCGGGTCGGGCTCTCTTTCTCTGACACATGCACTTACTGTGAACCTAAAAAAAAGAAAAGAAAAAAAAGTTAGAATGCCTTAAATGTTTGACTTAAACCAAATCTTATCTGTCTTTTGTGTTACATATATCCTGTGTAGCTATGCAAAAAGACATACAAATCTTTGAGGCAAGTCCAATAAAACCTATGTTCCTGTAACCTGGCTGTATAAGTAGGCTACACCCATAAGCTAATCTGACATTTTATGATTTCAGCATTTTGCCTTTGTGGTGGCTGCTTTAGAATGTGACGTACTGAACATCTGCACATTCTACCTTGTGAAAGTTCTCAAAATGATCTGATTTTGAGGGGGTTGTGTTGGCTATTCCAGAAATATCTTCACAATTGGAACACTCTGTATTCGTCTTTCCTTCTATCCTAACTAATCTGCCACTTCCTGCTTCTCCAAAACAACCCCATAGCATGATACTTCCACCACCATGCTTCATTGTAGAAATGGTATTGGCATGGCGATGCCAGTACCTCCAAACATGATGTTTCTAATAATCTCCGGACTTTCTTTTTTCGTCTAGTTGTTTTACACTTTGTGCGAAGAATTTTGAGGAAAGAGATTTATTTCAGACAATTGGAAATAAGGCAGTAACATGGGAAAATGTGGGGAAAAGTGAAACGCTGTGAATACTTTCATGATGCACTATAATTCTTGTCAAGCTTTTCATCTCTTGTTTATAATTCTTTTAAACTGTGATGAAAAAGCATTTTATATTCGCTGTAACTTTAGTACACAAAAAGACAGCGTCCTCAACCATATTTCAGCTTTTTGCTATTTATGAATTTTTAGTGTTCTCTGAGTTAGTCTCAAATTACTGCTGAATGAATAATAAAGAGGACATGTTGATAACTATGGTGACATGCCTGGACAAACATCTCGCCCTCCTTTCATTTCTCCTGGATCCATCTGCGTCATATAGATTCCCATTTCATTCCATCCTCGTTAATCATTGTCAGCAGCTAAGCCTGCCTGCAGCCTTAGCACCGTTTTCCCTTTTCATTTACCTTCACTTTCCTCTCCTCTTATTTCAAGAAGCTGCAACAATGAAGACATGTCACCATGGTGATAGCTAATCAAAAGACGAGGCCAAATTTGTATGAAGAGATTTTTCTTTTCCCTTGAGGTGTGGCTGTTAAGAATATTGACACACTGCGGTTAATGCACCATCTCTTATATATTTGCTTTACTTCTTATATCCGTATTCATCCACATAGGTACTTAGACATTTCTGTGGACAACCCTTGTGTGGGCCTCATTAAGAAATACCCAAATTCACACATTAAAATGTTAATCATGGTTATTTTTTCTTTTTTTAAATCTGGTTTCTCTCTAGTGACTTTCATTGACTTTTAACTGTTTCTCTGACCTGTAAGCTCTGCTAATACATTTTAGATTTCAAAGGTGCATATGAACCAGAATACAAGTCAAAGTGTTTACACAGGTGTATTTGTTTCTGACTGGAAGGGCTTGTTTTTATAAATCCATTTACATTGCCAATGATCCGAGTAGGAAGCGAGGGTGAGATAGACAAAGGGACGCATGCCGGTGTGACACACTACACCTCCACCAGTAATAGCTTTTCACCTCCACTCAGGTGCCTGGCAACTATCACACTGCCTGGTCATTCGACATGAAAAGAGTAGCAAAGCTCTAAGTGCAGTTTAAAAAAAGAAAAAAAAACCTGCAAGCAGGCAGACTAATGAGACTTTTTTCAGAAAACCTTGACAGAGAACCTGAACATGATGTGAAATACGGTTAAGGGGCATTTTAATACCACTAATTATCACCGTGCTATCATAAACAGTTTTTAATTAAAGTAAAAAGATGATTATTAATTTGAAACATGAGTGCCCATCACAATCTCACCTGAAGGTTGGTTGATTTGTAAAGCATCTGAATGAATTTACAGAAAATAATTAAATCAGCATGTTTATCTATTATTTCCCATCATGACATATGTGGCTTCATGATTATTACTGAGACAATGTCGCCAATCTTGAGGATTTGAATTTAAGTGCATCAAGAAGATCCCTAACGCAGCTTCCTGTGCCTGAACAAAAAAAAAAAAAAAATCAGAGAGCAGGTTTGGATCAGTCTGCCCACATCTGAGTGCCAGTAGGGTTTGGTGCAGACTGAGGTCATCAGACACAGACACACAAAAATACTAAACTCTCACAACATAATGAATGCAAACCGTCCACCCAGAGGGTGTTCCACTGTTTGTTACACAAAGAAGGTGTGCAATGCACAACTTTCCCAAGATATGAAAGGTAACAAAGAGAGGCTTTATCTTCCAGTGAACTGCACTTTCAATTAGACATTTCAAGGCCTCACCTAGAACATGGATAACAGTGACACAACAGATTAGATTAGGGGGGAAAAAAACCTGACAAAAAAAATAACATTTAGCTTACTCTTAAGTGCAAGGTCAGGTGAAAAAACTTCACAGATGAATGCACTGACCTCAGATAAGGCCGTTTATTTATGTCAAATACTTATCCACTGTGACTGCTAAAGGAAATGTGGTTCTGCCTGTAGTTTGACTTCGAGAGGAAAGGAGTAAACTCAGGAGCAGGAAAAAATCCAACACCAGCTTCTTGCATTTGCAATGCCAGCTGTCAACCTGCCCAGACGAGCCTCTGGTTACGTGTCCAGAGCTGACAGACTGTAACTGCAGTGACGTGGTCTGAGGCAGCCAAGAACATACTATCACCACAAGAAGCAGATCCCACTGCCATGGTTACGTAGAGTAATAAGGTCAGCATTTGACGGCGGATGTTACCGTCTGATCTACTAACGGGCTTTTATAAGCACTCAGTCGTAGCAAAAAATTACTTTCTGCTTGAATAATTACATTTTTTATAGTCATCCTAAAAACTGAAAAAAATAAAAGCATTCTTTAATTACATTTACATCTAGTTAAAGTGTTTCTCATGAATTCCCAGGTTGTACAGCAGCTTGCTGTGCTGTGGAGAGTCCTTTATTGTTCCTATAGTCACATGATTCATATTGACTAAACAGACATTGGTGACTAAAAATAGTCCCATTCAGCTCTGCTGCAGAGGACAAGTGCATTTCTTGGCAATTTAAAATCAAAACATAACTCGAAAAAGAAAAATCATATTTGCAGTGCATACAAACAAAACTGCTCTCTTACCAAGAAGGTGAAAAGATACACTGACTTGGTTTTGTATTTGGTCAAAATGTACACAGAGATTAATAACAAAAAGTATCATGTTTAATATTCATTTATTATCTCAAAGTGTAATAAAACTTACACTGCTTTCACTTAGCTTTACAAGTTACTATTTGTGTACTACCATATGAAAATGTTCCAAGTGAAAACATATGTTGCACAACATTTACATACTGTCTTCTCATTGTAAAAAGGGAAAAAAAAGTTGCACACTAAATAAGCTTGTGTTATGTTTGGTACATTTTAAAACCGGCATAATTCTTCCTCCAGGTTGTTGACCCAAATCATGTTTTAACTGACGTGTTTTCAATAAAGGTAACAATCTTAAGAAATGCACTGAAAGTTTCTCAAATATTTTCTTTATCCATTGCTATTCAGTTATAGCAAAAAAGAAAGAGCTGGTGTGAAGCAAACAGGAAACATTCTGAATGAATGGGCTCCTGTCCAGATGTCAGGTACATTGTCATGTTAGAGAGCATTGTACTCCACACACTTTGATGGATCAGTTGGGAAGTGTTTCTGGCAGATAGTCATTAGCCTCTTCAGACCCTGTAAGAAAGACACAAAAATGTTGAAAAATAATATCTATTTTTGGGCCATGTTAATCTTTCAGCACAAGGAACAAGCAATGCTATAGTTACTAAGAATGCATGAGCTTTATTATGTTTAAAAGAAGTTAAGTTTTAGTGTATAAACTAAAAATAACTCAAAAGTAATAGTGAAACACTCAATTTTAACTAAATTCAGTTTATTTCTATTATGCCAATTCACAACAAATGCAGTCTAAAGATACTTCACAACACAAAGTATACAGTTAAGATAGGCAGTATTGAACTCAATTTCTTATATACTAATTATATCCAATTAATAAGAGCAATACTGTCACGTTCAGCTTATTAAGTCAATATGATAAAAGTTTTCTAAGGGAACCCATCTGAAGGCATCGAGCAATCCCTCACTTGGATGCAGAGACAGTGAACAACTGATTGCATTTTATTATGAAGCAAGACATATTTCAAAGTAAATCATGTCTGGGCTTAAATCATCATTCTTGATTTATTTTATATCAGTGACACTTTGGTACTGAAGCCTTGCTCCAAATAATTATGTGCTGAAGCTCAGAATTATTATCAAAACTATTTATCTTTATCCAGCACCTAAATTCAGCTTAGACTCATGATGCATTCGAGTACCGGGAAACCGGGCAGTCAAAATGATTCTGCTCAAGTATTTTTGCTTACTGTTAACAGCAGATTGTCATCTGTTATTGAATCTCAACAACCATGTCCCAAACAAGACTTTTTTTTAGGCTGTCATAAACATCAGAGTTATTTTAAAACTGAAATTTTCCAACATGAGGTCACACTGTAGTATTGCATTAAAAGAAACAAACTGAATGCTGTGCCCCCAAATAAAGCAAACTAAGGAGATTAACAACACGTCACCACAGACAGCGACTGCAGTCTCCTATAAATTGACATTTTGCTACAGTTGCCACTGTTTTCATGCAGCAAAATTTGTAGGCTAGATTTAAATGTTTTCCTCTCAGTTTTGAAATGATTTACTGATAATTTGGCTCATCGCACACATTATTTTAATGATTATCCAGTTAGTCAAATGCAAACAAAGCTGAAGTTAGTTTTTTTTTTCCACTTTGAGTGTTCTGATAGTAGTAAATCTACATTTGTAGAACTAATAAACAAAACAATACAATTTTCCAACTTCTGCTTGCATAAATAGATTATAAATGTTTAAAGACAGTAAACAACAACAGGTCTTGAGAGTTGA